CAAATACTAGACAACTATAATCTAATATCTTAAAATAACTTACAAACTCTCCACAGCTTACTATCCCTAGACAGATAGACAAACAGAACAAATAAACGCAGAAATAGAAAAGTACCTACAAAAATACATCTTGTACAAACAAACAGATTAGCCTGAATAGTTGCTAATAGCACAGTTAGCTATTAACACTACACAATCTTCCGCAACTAAAATAACCCCGTACAAGGCAAACTTTAGATACCCACACCAGTACAGGCTCTCTAGAACCCAGCTAACAGACCTACTAGAAGCCCTAAGCTAGACAACACAACTGTTAGAAATCTATTAAAAGTTAAGTAAGGAAGCTTAGTCTGCAGCAGAAGCTATAGAAACATCTATAAACTAACACTAATAAATAGCACTAGAAATACATCCTTATAATTACATATATTTAGATACTATAAATCTTAAGAACCTCTAACTAGCACAAAAGCTAGCTAAAAAATAAATAGGACCTTATAAAGTTATTTAAACTTGCCTAGAGGCATGCAAACTTAAACTACTAAAGGATATAAAAATTTTCCTATAGTTCCACGTCTTTAAACTAGAACTAGCACTTAAAAGTATTCTGTTAGCAACCTAAGGATAGAATAAAAAAGAACTTAAATACAAAGTTAAAAAAATTTTAGATAAAGAAGGGAACTACTACTTAATAAAGTAGGTTAGATTTCTAACTTATAAAAACACTTAGGAACCTATCACAAACCTGTAGAACACCTAGAAGGCGCTATAGGAGTATTACTTGCGCCTTTTAAGTTAAACTACTTAGGCAAAAGTTCCTTTAACTAGAAGACACCTTTGTTAGCTAAAATAACTGCAGCATTAGCTAGCTGTAATGTGGAAGGCCCCTAACCTTTTAAGGCGGGCTAAGAAGGAGAGAGGCCTACTGCCTCTACCTTAAGCACTTTAAGTTTATCTAGTAATAAGAGGTCTTTTTCTAGATACTTTGCCTTTTAATTCTCTAACACTTTTAGCTGTTTCTAAACCTGTTCTTGCTAAGCTATAAAAAACTAAAGACGCCTTAGAGATTTAGCTTACTTTTACATTTTCCTCTCCTTTTCTCTTATCTCCTTCTCTGTTGCTGCCTCTAGCTCCCTGCGCAACTTCTGCTTCTCACGCTCTAAACAATCCTAGGCTGCATTAGAAACAAAAGCATTGCAGCAACCACCCTTTTGCACGCATTCCACACACTTGTCTGACAACAAGGACATCACGCAGGGAGTACTATGCAAACAGCAAGGACCACAAGGACGCATTTTTGTACAACAATAAGGATTAAGATAGGCAACAGTACAAAGGCAACAATTAACAGCAGAAAGACAAGAAACCTAATAAGGCATAGTTAAAAAGGATAAGCATACATTAGGCATTTACTAAAGGACACGCACTAGTTAAAAAGAAAACCTAATGCTTACAACAGGAAAAACATAACAGCAAGGACGCTAACTAGAAGGGGAGCCTGCGTGTTATAGCTAACAGACAGGCTGTAGGAACTTAGCTTACTATTACACACAACTCTACACACATTAGATAGAAAACAGTTAACCCTGCAATTAGTAGACCTTATAACTAAACAGAGAAAGAATAGCTCTACTTTATAGATAAAACCTTAGCAGAATGCACTGTCTAATAAGGACTAAGGACATCACAGGCAGTGCAGGCGTTGCAGGTAGAAGCAGACACTGCATGCAACGCATGCAATGCATGCAAACGCATGCAAACCCTATGTATATAGTCTTAATCCTAACTATAGTTAGAAGGTTATAATTAATGTTTAGTTTATTTTTTATAATAAACTAAGAAGCTTAACTCCTTTCTAAAGAAAATTAAGCTGCCTTGTATATCTTATAATATATATACCTCTAACCTTTGTTTACCTAACTAGTAAAAACCTAGCTATCTATACAGCTAAAAGGGACAAACTACAGCCTGCCTTTATAAACCCTGACCATCCTTTACTCTGCTTAACAGACTGTACACCTGATCTAGCTAAGTTCTCACCCCTCTCTATTAACACCCACATAGGCCGTTGTACTCCGCAAAACACCATTCCCGCGGAGTAAGGATTGTAACACTATGCTAGATTAGCAATACTTAAAGAATATAAAGAATGTTTAAGCTTTTATAAAATTTACTAACTTTTACTAATAATTTATTAATAACTTTTTATAGCTAGTAAGCCTTATAATTACACTTACTAAAAAAAAAGTTTAATTTAACTTTAACTTAAATTACTAATAGTTTTTTAACTAGCTAAAAAAAGCCTTTACTAAAGCTTTAATACTCTACTACTTTAACTTTAAACTACTAATACTTATAAAAGCTAATGTCTTAGACTATGTAGTAGCAGGAGTTTTTTTTTAGACTAAGCTAGATAAGACTATTAGGCCTATTATATACTTTTTAAAAAGAATAAGTCTTACAGAAGGTAATTATAAAATCTATAATAAAAAATTACTTACTATAGTACACTGCTTTAAATAATAGCAACCTAAACTAGAAGGTGCAGCGCATCTAATATAGGTCTTATCTAACTATAAGAACTTATAGTACTTTATAACTATAAAATAACTTAGCTACTAATAAGCTTATTAGTTTAAATACTTATCTTATTTTAATTTTAAGATTACTTATTATTTTAGTTAAAATAGAGAGAAACTAGATGCTTTTATAAAGTAATTCTAAAACATCCCTACTTAAAAAAAAGTGTAAAAAGCTTAATATTAAACTCTACTTTAACTTAAGCTATTTTTAGACCTTAACTTAAATAAAATAAATTAAATTATTAATTAAATTATTACTAATAAGTATCTAAATAATAAATTTATCTAAAAAACTTTAAACCTACTTTAAAACAGCGCTAGTTAGTTAAAGAAGGTAACACTAGCTAACTATAAAAACTAAAATAGTAAGCTATATTACTATAACTAACTTATAATTTTTAATTCTAATAAACTAAGAATTAAACTACTTTAAATTATATATAACTTACTTATTAAAAGACACTTAGGTAGAGAAAAGACTCTTAACCTACTACAAAGAGAGTACTACTAGCCCTGCATGTTCTATACTATATGCTAATATATATTATGTTGCTATACTTGCTGTAAAGTAAAAGCTTTTTAAAAAAGGTATAATAGCCTACTTAAACTACTTCTAATCTCTAAATAAGCTTAGAAAGATATATTAATTAATTTTATTATAAACTTACTTTTATTTAAAGGGTATATAAATATTATAGTAGTTGTTAATTACTTAACTAAGTATTAACACTTAATACTATATTCCTCTATAACTGCCCCTAATATAGCCTAGTTATTCTACTAATATGTATAAGTTTACTATAGCCTGCCTAATATAATTATATTAGACAGAGGTACACAGTTTGTTTTAGCCTTCTAGAATAAACTTTATAAATAGCTCTAAATTATCTTTTATCTATTTATAGCTTTTTACCTAGAGACTAATAGCTAGACTAAGAACATAAACACTATAATAAAATAAGTCTTATAAGTATACATAAACTACTAGTAAGATAACTAGGTAAAATAGTTAGCTATAGCATAGTTTAAAGCTAATAACATAATATCTAAATTAACATAAGTATCTTTGTTTTTAGTAAACTATAAATACTACCTTTAAATAGAATTTAAACTACTTATAAATACCTTTTAACTAACTTATTAATTTATATAAGTAATAAATATAAATAAACTTATTAATAAAATTTAAAATATATTTAAATATATTTATAAAAAGCTTATATAGGCTTAAGCTTTTTAATAAGAGTATGTAAACTAATTTTAAACCTCTGCCCCTGCGTATACAGCTAGTAAGAAGGTCTAGCTAGACACTAGAAATATTTAAATAAACTAATAATTAAAAAAACTTAATTAGAAAAACTTTAGCTTCTTTATAGTAGCTTATATAGTCTTATTATATACTTACTAATTAATTCTACCTAACAGCATAAAGATACACTCTGTGTTCCACGTATTATTACTGCGCTAAGTAGCCTTTAAATCTAACTATCTACTTAGATAGCTAAACCTACTACCTAAACTTATTATTATAAATAATAAACTAGAATATGTTATAAAAGATGTTAAATAGATCTAGTTTAATAAAAAAAAACATATTTATAAATACCTTATAAAATAAACTAAATATAATAAACTGTTATAGAAACTTATAAAAGCCTTAGAAAAAAACTTTATAGTAACTTAATTTTATACCTAATACTTATTTAAACTAAACTTATACTTTAATAAAAATAACTTAATGCTAAAACTACTAATATAAAGAATTCTTTTTTTAATAAGGGGGGGGGTACTATTACAGTATCCTCTTTAGATCCTAGACATAACTGTATTAGACGTGTACTAGAGTATTATTAGTGCACGTCTAATATAAATATAACATAACATAGATATAAACTTAAGCATAAACTGCTTTAACACTAACTAAACTTAAAATAGGCTTAATTTATACCTAAAGTGCTTAGACTTTTAAGCTAAGTATTTAATTACTAATTTTTTTTTAAACTTTCCTATTCCTTACATAATGTCTTGTACCTACTATAATACCTCACGTAGTAATTAAACTAGACCTCTGTGAAGCTCTATAACCTTACTCGTGCACAATCGTGACAGAGAGCTAGCATTAAGTAGAACTTAACATAGTAGGTAAATTAACCTTTTTATAAAGTATTACATGTAAATTATTACTAGAAATAGAATTTATAGCATTTAATTAGTATTATAATAAAAAATCTATATAACTTATAATTTATGTAAGTCTCTAGAGCTTTAAAAGTGAAAGGCGCTGATTGCTAAAATTGTGCATTACGCGAGGCCGTGCATTACGCGCTAAAACATGGTACTGAATTTTAGCCCTACCGGATCATTGATATCGCGGCGATCTTGGCAGTGGACCAAGCGCTAAACTTTCTGGATTGATCGCTGCTTCCTCCATTTCAGGCTCGAAGAAGTCGGAGCGCCACTGCACTCCTACCTTGGAAGTCTTAATACCCACCTGCATATCCTCACTTTAATTAATCCTATAGCTTGCGTTTATTCATATCTAGTCCACCATGTCAGCCTCAAACACACCGAAGACAATGTCGAGTCGGCTCATGACAATGAAGGTAAAGAGACATTCGTTAGTGGCTATTATGTCCAAATGTTGCTGATGCGACTTCAAGTTCATGCAGCGCTCTGCTGCTAAAACTACATATTCAGGTCTATCGACACCGAATGGACCACTATCGAAACGCATTCGTGTATCTGACGTCACCCCCGCTCCAGGTCCCCTGTACACTCCAGATCACGAAACCATACAAGCCGCACTTGCAGCAGAGGAGAAAAAAAGGCAAAATGCGCTTGACAAGGCTGCTGCGAAAGCCGGCGAGACAAAATGGGTGTTGAGCTTCAAGGACCTACAAGAGATATCTAGACCCCAAGCAATGAGTGTCGCGTATGCAGGGTTTGCGGCCATTGATGCGGATGATGATGAGAGCGATGAGGGCGAAATGAAGCCGGTCAGGATGCAATTTGGGGGGGGTGTGAAGAAGGAGGCATGTCTGACTGGAGTTCAACTGAGAGGGAATGCTGACGCTCTTCAGACGTCGACTGCGACCGAGGGTTCCGGGTCGGATTCTGACTCAAAATCTGAGTCCGATGACTGTGATTCGGAGGATGCAACTGCAGCACTCATACGAGAGACGAAGCGTGAGGCTGCTCCGAAGTCACGTGAAGCTCGAAAGACTCAGAAGAAAGAGCCTCCCAAACGAGCGCCCTTCAAGATTGACGAAGACATGGATCTCGGTGGTCTCACTTCGATTTCGGGCGGATTGAGTAGCGGCGGGCGTGGGAATAATAGCATGACGTGCTACAATTGTGGAAAACAAGGACACATAAATAGGGACTGTCTGCAGCCAAAGGCTCCTCGAGGCTCTGCTGGAAGAGGCAGAGGCAGGGGTCGGCGGTGAACCAACATAAGCAATTCACAGAGAAATATTAGATACCCGGGGTTTTGATTCTCTAGTCTCCTCTTCTATGAATTACTGATCACCCCACTTTCTCTCCATTCTCGATTAACATGTACTCGTCGCCAACCATCATCCGCATCTGACTGTCGTCCATGAAGTTCTCGTGGTCTCCGTTGAGCTCCGCACCATCTTTATCGTACAGAAACTTAGCCAGAGCCATGTAATTCGGAAACACAAACGTGCAGATGGCATCGTAGTCCAGTAGCTTCGCCTTATTGTGCATAATGTCTTGGATCATCTTCCTATCGCGATTCAGATGGTAAGTCTAATTCATCTTACGGATTAGCGCTCTCGAGTTACAACCGCAATTCGAGGACACAGTTGAACCCCTATCCGAACAGGGTCAAGAATTAGAAGGGTAGCAATACAAGGTTATAACTTATTATCTCATGACGTTGTAGAATCGGAACGGCTCGCTGAGCATGCACGCTGTTGTAGTACTCAATGAAGGCCTCATCGGACATGCCTTCCTTCTTTTTGACGAGAATAGTAGCTTTGACAACCTTTCGAAAACCGACAGTGTTCGGATAACCTGCTTCAAAGGCTTTGGGCACCATGATGTCCGATTCACGGATGTGCGTGCAGGATGCGATGCGACAGGAAGAGTGGCAGGGCTGACCCCAGTTTGTGCTCATGGGGACTTCGTCGGCATCGGTACCAGGAGACCGGATGCATTATTGAGCCTCAATACCATCTCGACCTCCTCTCGCCCTCTAAATTGCCCAGCCTCGCCCAACCAGTCAGTTGGTTATCGACAACTCTGCTGCTTGCCGCGTCACCCCACAGAGCCTCCCAGATCTACTTGACGTTTGTCTTCGGCTTTGCCGTCGCTATTGCCACACTCCACACAGTCTCCCTTGGCTGTCGACCCCCGTGAATGAACAGATATCAAGCGGCTCACTCTCATTGTGCATTTACCGCTCTATGCTTACCGTGGTTACGGTCACCGGGTGTACCGTCGATTTCGCGTCTCTCAGCTGCCTGTTACCGCTCAGCTGCCTATATCTTTGCCACACGTCCACGGCCACTACCCTCGGGCTACAAAATCCGCAGACTCCGCCCTTCTCCAGCCATACGTTTCCCTTACCACCGCTCATTCACCACTTTACTGCATCAATCAGCCCAACCGGCAACTAGGATGAGCGAGAGTCTCAACCGGGGCGTCGCACGCGAGCGCATAGAGGATTTGGAGCGCCCGGCACTGGATGACCGGGCGTATAGAATCATTACACTGCGGAACAAACTCGAGGTGCTGCTAATACATGACGCCAAAACGGACAAGGCCAGTGCTGCCCTAGATGTCAACGTGGGCAGTTTCAGCGATGCGGAGGATATGCCAGGAATTGCGCATGCGGTAGAGCACCTGTTGTTCATGGGAACAGAAAAGGTGAGTCTAGACCACATGTCCCTAGGTGCAAACCCCTCAACTATTTCTATAGAACAAGCTCTATTATCTTAGTTATGGCAGTTTGCTTTGAAGAATATTAGAATTCGCGAATGCACAATGGATTTAATACACAGACTAACAAGGACACCTAGTACCCTAAAGAGAATGCCTACAATCAATATCTAAACGCTCATTCGGGACACTCTAACGCGTATACGGCATCAACATCAACAAACTATTACTTCGAGCTCGCCGCTTCCTTATCGACACCTACAAACAGCAAAGCACCGTCACCGAACGCCACACAGGAAAGCCTGCCAACCTTGAAAGACGAGTCACCTCTTTGGGGAGCACTTGACCGCTTTGGCCAATTCTTCGTCGCACCTTTGTTTTTAGAGGACACAGTGGATCGCGAAATCAAAGCTGTAGACTCAGAAAACAAGAAGAACCTACAAAGTGATTCTTGGAGATTGCACCAGCTTAACAAGGCATTGTCGAATCCGAACCATCCATACTGTCATTTCTCAACAGGTAGCTGGAAAACCCTTCACGATGACCCCATTGCAAGGGGCGTTAAGATCAGAGATGAATTTATCAAGTTCTACTCTACTCACTACTCCGCAAATAGGATGAAATTGGTTATCCTTGGACGTGAGAGCTTGGACACATTAGAAGAATGGGCAGATGAGATATTCTCAAAAGTGCCGAACAAGGATCTGCCACGAAAGCGGTGGGACAATGTATCTGTGTACACGGAGAATGAACTATTGACCCAAACATTTGCGCGCCCAGTCTTTCAATCACGGTCACTAGAGCTGTCGTTCTTGTACCGTGACGAAGAGGACTTATACGAATCACATCCGTCAAGATATCTCAGCCACCTTATTGGACATGAAGGACCTGGAAGTATACTTGCATATATCAAGGCGAAAGGCTGGGCAAATGGTCTCGGAGCAGGGGGCTCATCAATGTGTCCTGGCTCTGGACTCTTTAACATCAATGTCAAGCTCACAGAAGACGGACTAACGCACTACAAGGAAGTTACAAAAGTCATCTTTCAGTATATCGCCATGATTCGGGCGCAACCTCCACAGAAATGGGTTGTCGAAGAACAGATCCGAATGAGCGAAGTAGACTTCAGATTTAAGCAGAAAAGCCCACCGAGCAGGACGACAAGTGCTTTAGGCAGTGTAATGCAGAAACCTTACGATCGCAAAATGTTGCTTAGCGGACCAGCCGTCATTAGGAAATTTGACGCTGAAGCAATTAGCCAAGCCATGACCTACCTTCGGCCGGATAACTTTAGGTTGAACATTGTTAGCCAAGAATTCCCGGGTGGGTGGGACAAGAAAGAAAAGTGGTATGGAACAGAGTACACGAGCGAAAAGATTCCAGGAGATTTCCTTACCGAGATCAAGCATGCTTTTGAGAATTCTGCAAAGGAGCGACCGGCAGATCTGCATTTCCCGCACAAGAACGAGTTCATCCCAAACCGACTCGAGGTGGAGAAGAAAGAGGTAGACGAGCCACTGAAAGTACCGAAGCTGATACGGAATGATGAGAATGTACGGACTTGGTATAAGAAGGATGACCAGTTCTGGGTTCCGAAGGCCAATGTCCAAATTTACTTACGAACTCCTCTCCCACACCTCACTGCAAGGACGACAGCTATGAGCGCTTTGTATCGCGATCTAGTCAACGATGCCCTAGTAGAATACTCTTACGATGCAGATATTTCGGGGCTTGTCTATGATTTCAGCACCCACAGCACTGGCTTGTCGATTACTGTACAGGGTTACAACGATAAACTTCACGTTCTGCTCGAGAAGGTTCTTGTTTCAATTCGAGATCTAGAAGCCCGGGAGGATCGCTTCAAAATCCTCCAAGACCGTCTAACCCGCGGTTTCCGGAACTGGGATTTTGGCCAACCATTCCATCAAATTGGAACTTTCTCCCGCTTTCTCAAGAATGAAAAGGCTTTTCTAACAGATGAACTACTGAAAGAGCTTGAAGGGATCTCGGCCCAGGATGTCCAGCAATTCTACCCCCAAATCCTCGCTCAATGCCATATTGAAGTAATGGCCCATGGAAACCTATATAAAGAGGAGGCGCTACAGATTACTGATCTCGTAGAAAAGACCATAAAGCCCAAGAAGCTTTCGCCGAGCCAGTTACCTATTCGAAGGACCTTGATATTTCCGCCCGGCAGTAGTTACGTGCATGAGCGGCAGCTAAAGGACCCGGCGAATGTGAATCACTGCATTGAGTATAGCCTCTATATTGGAAATAGCGCGGACCGGGATCTACGAGCGAAGATCCTCCTTCTCGCACAAATGACAGACGAGCCAGCGTTCAATCAATTGCGGACCATTGAGCAGCTTGGCTATGTTGTTTTCTCAGGCGGCACCTTTACGGATACTTGGGCTGGATACCGAATCTTGATACAATCAGAGAAAGACTGTCAATACTTGGAGGGGCGTATCGAGCACTTCTTGACGAGTTTCGAGAAAATGCTACATGAGATGAAGGAGGATGAGTTTGAAGGTCATAAGCGTGCTGTGGTTAATAAGAGGTTGGAGAAGCTGAAAAATCTTGCGCAGGAAACCTCGAGGTTTTGGAGCCATATTTTTAGTGATACTTATGATTTTTTGAAAGGTACGTGACTTCTTCCCTCCTTTCCCGTTAGGCGAGGCGGGCTGAGCTAATGTATGCATACTAATGCTTTGAACAGCCGACGAAGACGTCAAACACATCGAACCCCTCTCCAAGCAACACCTCATTGACTTCTTCACCCACTACATCAGCCCACGCTCCACATCCCGCGCAAAGCTCAGCGTACATCTTGTTGCGCAAGCCAAACCCAAAGAATCAACCGCAGAAGAACACAAATTGCAAGCCATCCAGACCGTATCCACCATTCTTGCCGCAGAAAACATCACCCCTAACACCGAAAAACTTCGTACCAGGCTCCTACCTCTGGCGTTCGACCCAGAGTCTTTGAAGACAGGCGATGCTGTCTCAAACGCTCTATTGGCGCATCTTTCCGAGGACTTGAAGCTTGGGAAAGAGGTTGTGGATAAGGTTCTTGATGAAGCGAAAGCGGCTTTGGGGTTGGCGGTAGAGAAGGCGGTGGGTGGACCTGTGCAGATTAAAGATGTGCATATTTGGAAAGCTGGGCTGCAGATGAGTACCGGTGTAAAGCCTGTAAAAGATTTGGGCGAGTTTATGGAGGGTGGGGCGAAGCTGTGAGCTCTGTTTGAAGTCGTGCCGTGGATCAACGAGCTTAGATTAGGTGGGCATGGAGAGAGTGGCTGAGGTGGAAGAGGTTGACGAAACGGGGCTGCAACCGGAAGGGTTTAACCCTGGACTTCAGGCTTGACGCCTGGGGCTGGAGAGAGAGTTGGGAAGTGGGTACCCAGTGTCGCTGTAGAGTCGGAAGCAAGAAGCCTGGGGAAGGGAGCATAAGTATAGATTGTAATCGACCGATTGTAGGCTGTGCAAGCTGTCTAAGCCTACAAATTAGTGGTATCATTTCAGCACTACTTCATCTTTCACATCATGGAAATGCTAATATAAAGTCACATTTTTCCTGTCTTGTCTCTCAGAGTTCCCTAGCTACGCACACCACCCCCGCTTTTCAAGATTACTTTTCTAGTCCACAGAGGGCGGTAGTATCGTTTCAGTACTACTTCAACTTTCACGTCGTGGAGATGCTGATATGAAGTGACGCAATCGCTATATCGTTTCTCCGAGTTCTCCAGCCACCAACATCATTTACGTCCCAAAGGATCAACTTCTAGCCCTATAGCACCACCTAAGTATTCTGATAGAAGTATAGGGTAAAGAAATGTTCATGTTGGCATGAGTTTCTTTCCAGCACTGCGTGAACTCATGTTCACTCTACCATCTGCAATCTGCGGAGAAGTCCCTGAGCAGTAAAGCTTGATGGTTGACTGAAAAGGCCATCTGGAAGCCATCCATCATCTCTAACTCATATCTGGACAATCTGCATGCTTCCAGCTCATTGGGTAGTCTGAGAACTGCATATACAGTCTTGGAATTGATTTCGACCGGATGAGACGATCTATCCTTCTCCTGTTTCCTTCGAGAAAAGGTTTCCAGCCCATGGAATTACTCTTAGGTAGCTTAGCTACCGTAGGCTGCTCCAAACTCTTTCATTGTTAGATGAGCAAGGAAGCAGCTATGACGAAAATGGTCGTGCTGACTATCACTCCAACACGTATTCCAGCTTCCACACCGGTACCGAGGCTGGGGCTAGATCATGGTTCTGGACAGTGGTTTGTGTAGAGATCGTGGATGGAAATGCCGGTGATGGTAGTGAGAAAGGCGTCGGCGATGAAAATTGTTGGTGTCACAGTAAATTGTATGTAGATCAATTTTGCCAAATAGGTTGCATGGGAGGAAGGAAACCAGAATAGCTCGTTTGCCTGTTAGCAGATAGCGGTTGGGTTCGCCCAGGTTGTCCCGGACAAAAGCACAGTCATATTATTCTTCATTGTGTAAGGCCCCTCCCCAAAACTGGTACGGTCCCATACTGCGGTTTTAACCCAGCTTTTAGCGAAGCTGGTGTTGAAAGTGAGAGCACGATAGCATCGAAGGGAGTCGAGGCTTGGCTTGAACATGAATCAGACTCGAGAGACATACTACTATCCGCCGGCGTCAATGAGAGCCTACTGTGGCTGTGAAGGTCAGGTAGACAAGCTCAAACGTACCTTTTTACAACATCTTGCAACGTAGTACCTCTCAACATCGCTGTGCTGTGGCAACAGTCTCGATTCTTTTATCGCAGCAATGGTTTAGCCATTAAGGCATATTCCAGAACTGTAAGTAGGTTTCATTACTGAATACTTCGGGGATTGGTGGAGGAAGCAGAAGCCATCCGGTGGAACAATACGTAGGTGTCTCGGCGACGGGCACCAGAATGGAGAACTGATAAGTGACTTTGCTCAGAACTACTGAGCTATTTTGAGACATCTAGGACATGATAGGGTGGACAAATCTGAGCTTCTGAGGTATCTGGTTCGATGTATTGTACTGACAGTATGATGTACGAGCGTCTTGACCAGGTAGGCTTTAAAAACACCAGCACCAGGGAGAGAAAGCGGGGGGAAGTTGTAAATGCGCAGTGCACGTAGCGAAGCTGTAAGGCGTCTTAGAATACGTGCTCTCGAAGCAATGGATCATATAGGCGCTGCGGATGTAGTGAGGGAATGATTATACTCTGGCGATTTAAATTTCTATATGAATAAGTTAGTTTGCGGTGCTGAATTTCAAAGGGCGAGGTTGGGGGGGGGATGCGGAAGCTAACTTCCCCCATCGAATGCAAGCAGCCCGAGAAGGGATGACGAAGAGAACCTTAGATAATCACACCATCGTCTATTAGCAGCTGGCGTTCCGCAGGTTCCCTTTTGCGACCAATCACACCTTCCATGTACTCATTCTACACTATTGCCAGTCTAAAAAGAGGATTTGTTTATTCAGGACGTCCTATTTATGGATCGTTTGGGGGTCACGAAGGAAAGCTGTGTTGAATGTTAGCCATATATTCACCAATATATGTACACCTTCGTCACTATTCTTCATCAAATTTGAACATTTTGTCATACCAAATACTTCTTCATTATTCATTTATTCATTAGAACCTGAAATATTCTCAGATATTGGATGCAACTACACTTCCACCACCCCTGGACCAAGGACTTGCGAAAACCGAAAACCCCTTTTCTTTTAGCCAGCCGCTGTACTCGTCTTTCATGTTAGCGCTCATTGTGCTTGGAGCGCACCTCCTCTTATCGTTGCTATCTTTCTCTATCCCACTTCGAGTACTCGCATCACCTTGTCCTTCATATTCTATAGCGAGGGCTCCTTCATCAAAGCCAACTGGGACGCCGAAACACTATGCCCCGGAAACCCGGGTCCCCATCGACCCATCATATTCCGCAGCTCGTGTTCTGTGCCTGGGACAACGTTGATGAAGGTGCGATCGACATTACACTCTGGTTCTGAATACACAGCACCTTCTTAATCTCCCAGTCTAAAAAAGGCAACCTCAGTGAAGGCCGCGGTTTCCATGATATCGCCTGCAAACTTTTCGCTAAGGTCTGACGTACGGCCACCACGGCGTCAAGACATCCCACACATCGGGAACTAGAACATGTGTGCTCCCTCTTTTCTCGCACTCCTTCCTCTTCGCATGTCTCTGCACTCGCCTTGCTCTTCTCCCATCCCTTAAGAATAGGGTAAGTGGACCGAGTAAGGTTCCTGCAAATTTCCAATATCCGCTTTTGACTCGCTGGGTTAGGCCCACCCTGTCCTTCTCGCCATTGTGATCGAAGAATATGTCATCAGTATGCCATCTTTCACAATCGTACCCGTGGGTAGGTTTTGTGGCGCGTATAGTGAGCTAGTAGTGCTGTGTATTAGCATGTTAGAGAAAGTTGTTGATGAAGCGGAGGAAGGGAAGGATACACGGGAGAAGTGGGCTGGAGATGGTGGTTCGGGACCAGGCATGAAAGGACGGTGGGAGATGGGCGGATGAGAGAGGGAGCGGAGGACCACAGTATGGTCCAGGATGAGGTGTTGAGGGGGTTTATTGGAGGAAAGTCGTGAACTTCTATTGCGCTGCCGTATGTTGTGATTGGGGTGGAAGTGGGTGGAAGATATGAGATGAAGGCGTGAAAACCGTACTGCGGTAGCGGGTCCATTTGTAGGTCTCGGGCAATAAAGTCGCAGATAAGATTCCGTTCCTTCTTAGTGTGATGGTGTTTAGTCCAATGAGTGATATGTTTCCACAACTGCTCCTCTTTATAACATTCCTTCCCAACAATCGATTCCCTCCCAACCCTTCTATAATTTCTTGAAACTCTTTGATGCAGGTATCCACCTTTATAGACCTAAAGCTCACCCAAATTCTCCGAAAATCAGCGGAAGAGTGGTAGCCCGTTCCCAAGTTTGACAGCGAGGCTGAAGGTTTCTCATCGGTTGTGTAGGCGTTAAAATAGAACGCATCGGAGCGCTTAAAGCGGACAAGGATCCATGAAGTGGACGAAGATTGGATCTGGGGATGGCCGCGCTCAGTCCTTTGGGGCTAGCCCGGCGTTATGTTCTTCCGGGAATTCATGTCATCGACAAGGTAAAAGTCAAAAGGCTGGATTCTTCTCATACACGCCTTCGCTGGATGGCGGCTAGGGTTCTCATTTTTGAAGAGCTAGCGACTAGGGGTCTGAGGTGATGTTTCATTTATTCTCTGCTCCTAACATGTTTCGACGGACGCTCTTTCAAGTCTCTTCGCGCAAGGCAGTAAGCCCCTTTCGCATGTCGTCTATAAGACCACATACCTCTCAGCCTCGCTCGCCACCACCCTCACAATCCCGCATTGAGCGCTTCAATCGTCATCTTCCCAAGTTCCTCCACAAGTACACGAATGCCCTCGCGACTGCTCCAGTCTCTCACATAACCGCCTTCCTTCTGCTTCACGAGATCACCGCCATAGTTCCCCTCCTAAGCCTCGTCGCAACATTCCACTACACTCATTGGCTTCCCTCATGGTTTGCAGAAGGGACGTGGGTCCTCCAAGGTGTCGAGCGGTTCGGCAAGTACTTTCGCCGCAAAGGCTGGATACGATCCGATGAAGTGTCGGAAGCCGAGCGTGAGGTTCAATTGGAAATGAGGAGGGGGGGCAAAGCATGGGACATTGGCGAGGGCGGAGTGAGGCTGGTGGTTGAATTTGCAACGGCTTATGCAGTGACGAAAATGTTGTTGCCATTTAGGATTGTGCTGAGCGTGTGGGCCACACCGTGGTTTGCGACGAGGACGGTTATTCCGGTTACGAATATAGTGAAAGGGCTTTTTGGAAGTGGGAAGCTAAAGACTCAGGTACGGGCGGGGTCAAGGGCCGCGGGGATGGGAACTTTCGATACGGGTGCAGTCACGAAGAGCAAGTCAGGGAAGGGTAAAGAAGGGGGATGAGTTCAGAAGCCTAGAGAATTTCACAGCCATGACTCTGTGAGATACGAGTGATTAGTTCGCCGGATATCTAGCATGATGGAACGTGATTTCAACTTGACGTGGCGAAGATTTAGGAGAGCGGTGAAAGGAACGCGTGGTCAGGTGATTTGTTGTTGATCAAGCAGACGAAGACCTAAGGCATGACAAAACAGCAAACCTCCTACTCACGCAGCATACAGTCCGTTCCTCGTGTCGTCTCTAGATTCCCATCTTCCGTGCTCAAGTGGGGCTCCCGAAGATGTGTCTCCCTCAAAAATGGCTTGTTACGGGTATGGCTCTTGAGGATATGCCTCCGCGAACAAGAAGGAGGAAATCATACCGCACTGGCGGTACAAGCCGGCTTCCAGAGAGCCAGTCCATGGTAAGTCAATGTGTCGCGCCTTCCTGATCTTTCCGCTCCTCCCACTTCACACCGCCCATTAAACCTGTCTATCCACGTGCCGAAGCTGGTCGCCGCAGCGGCAGCCTCTTCTCTTACCACACTCACCCTTCCTTTCAATTGCCTTCTTCAACGTCTCTTGAACCTCTGCTCTAACCCTTCCTTCTTCTCTGCACCAACTACCGTCGATTACCTACCATGGTCAATCCTCAACCTTTCAGCCAGACTCGCTGGGAGTACACATACATTCCTCGCGCTGGCGGCAACGGGTACTATCACAACCCGCCTCGTCAAGTGGAAGCTCCTCCAGCTGCCCAGCAAGCCCCAGTCGCCCAACTAGCCGGAGTACAGTATCCATACTACTACTACTATTACCCTCAACCCTCCTCCACTGCTCCCACCACAACGCAGTGTGCTTACTACCCCTCTTACCAGTACTACTATACGTATCAGGCTCCTAGCAGCACAGCCCCACCAGCTGCGGCTCCAGCTGCCAACTACCCGTACACCTATGTCTATCCTGGCACCACACATCACCAGAAGAGCCCCACCGCAGCTGCGCTAGTACCAAGCTCATACATAGGTGGTCGGACCAAGGACGAAGTCGATCTTGATGCCCGTAGGATTGCGACCGCACGTGGAGCGTACGAGCCCAAGAAGATCAAACCTGCGGATGCCAAGCCAGACGATCCTTTCTGGTGCCGCGAGAAGAGTGGCGATTGGCATCTGCGGGCCTTTTACACGATCGAGAACGATTGCCAACCGGGCCGCTGGAAGATGGATGGCGAGAAGGGATATCTGGTCTTCATCCGGGAGTGAAGTGGAAGGCACAGGGTTGGCATGCAACGTGGGCAAGCATGTATGCAGGTGTTACTCCAGCACTTCCGTATCTGCGCTAACGCTACAGTGAGATCATTGAGGTCCAGCTACATCTGCACCAGTCAAACACGAATGGCAAAAATCTCTCCCTCCTATTCGGAACCACGCTCCCTACAGTGTATCTGCCGTTCAAAGAATCCCATGTTCTGGCCAAACATCTCAGCTCAATCAATCTCGAGTGCCTCGTGGATGGCACTAAAAATCCACTGTGAATAGCTTACAAAGGAGGCTACAGTGAGCATATTTGTAGATGGATATCATGCTCAGCAGCTGACTCACGAGGCCTTGATTCCTGTTGTCCGGGTAGCGAGACCTGAGCATCCTCACGTCAAAGCCCCCCCTGCCGGATCTTCCCTTCTCAAGTCTTGGTTTCATTCACCGGTCCCCAATGTCGATATCAATCAATCGGATCAGTAATTTTCTCTTTCCCAAGATACCCCGATTAGTTTGAGCGTTGGTATTGTGCTTGCTTTTCTCCTTTTCCAAGGCGATTCACGGTGCTTCTAGTTGCTTCATCTTGATTTGATTTCTGAGCCTCTCGATAATCAGGCCCGGGGTAAGAGGCAGAACGACTGAAGGCAGGGCTTGGGATTCCTCTTTGGCGAAGCGGTTTATGAGCATGTATGCACCTGCGAGCAACGACGGCCCAGAAACCATCTCCTTAATTGCATGCCACCATACTACTTACCTTCATAAAATGCATCTCCGTCCTCGTGACCTTGTCATCGCTACCCCAACGAATCCATCATGAAGTCTGCCCGTAATGAAGGAACTTTGTATCTCTCCCAAGGCCGTTGGTATACTCCACCTGTGCATATCGGCTTCGCTTCAATACCACTCTACCATTCACTCTCCCTCACAACTTCTCCCCCTGGATCGTCGCGACCACCCTCCGCGAATGCTTTGCAGCCCTAAACTCTAAATACCAGATCCCCTGCCATGTCCCCGTCGCCAGCCTCCCATTCGAGATCGGAATCGTGATGCTAGCCCCCACCAACGCGCTCTTGATGTGTGCCGGCATGTCGTCGCTGCCTTCGGCGTCGTGGCGATACATGCCGCCGCGTTTGTCTTCAGGGACAATGCGATCAAGTGCGTCAGACATGTCAGCCCGGACGTCTTCATCCCAGTTTTCGTTTAGGGAGAGGGCACAAGACGTATGTTGGATGAAGAGATGGAGGATGCCGACCTGGGGAAGGCGGTGGGGTTAGCTATGGTTGAGTGGCTGACGGTGGGGAGGGAGACAGAGGCTTGGGATAGTATGTATTAGGAGAGAAGAATTGGTTTGCGTACCTTGTAGTTCTTGATCTCAGGCAGTTCACGCACGATGGTGTCGGTTATGAGGTATGATCCACGACTCTTCGACGGAAGGGTGAACTGTTTCTGGAACCTAATTCAACACCAATTAGCTCCTTCGGTACTTCTAGGCCCTCATTAAGTTCTCGTAACTTGCCAAGTCATCCTCGTTGGCGCGATACAGTAATTCGGACTCTCACAAAGCACGCTGGTGGGGCGGCCAGGTTCCTGGGGAGAAGGAAATATTAGATTGTAAGGGGCCCAGAGCACAAAATGGAAGGCGCCGGGAAAGAAGGCAAGCGTGAAGATGCTGAGGATGATGAAGGTTGTTAAGGAAGAGGTTGTGGTCGGGGCGGAAAGCATGGGAAATGTTGGATATGCACACAGAGGCAGATGGGAGGTTGACATCAGGGTTGGGGAGGTGAGATTAAGCGAAGAGTGGAAGGTTTAGGCGGGGTCGTTGTTGCACTCTCTTTGTGACAGAGCCTCAGAAAGCTATGGGATCAAAAGGATATTAACGGCATTAGATGAAAAGTACCGCCTTGGGTTGTGCAATTGGCATGGTTGGGGAAGTTTCTGAGGGTTTGGCGTGTGAAGAAAACTTTCTTGCTACTAGATATATACAGTTTGTGCATTCCATTCTTAATCCCTTCTATCGCTGCCCAAGCGGCTCGTCTGTGATTCTCTGTGACTCGGGAACTTCAGCTGGGTCACCAGTTGGACCGAGAGGGTACGGTGTCGACGGTAAGGATTCGAGGTGCTTCCGATGATGTTCATGGGCCTATGTTGCTCGATTAGTATAATTCGGTACATCGCCACCATCGGATGACTGTCTTCTTTGATTCCAGGGATTTCCAAAAGAGAGCAGAGAGACGTACGAAGGGAAGCCCGCAATATGTGCACCAACAGATCTTCGGCTTGTCCACATTGATAAAAACCCTCGGGTGTCCTAATGGTCCGCCTCCGCCATCACACGATACGACGCGCTCCTTTGTCCAGCGGACAGGTTGCTTGTGTATCAGTTCAATAGCGGCGTACGGTCGAGGCTAGTACAAAGCTCCATGTCAGCGAGACTCTCGAATTCCGCGTTTCATCCCCCAATCGCTGCTAGTAATCCCCAGGCAGGCAGGAAATGCCATGAACCAACCAATTGAACCCGCGAGACGTACCTGATCCTCAAAAATGGTCTGCTCAAACCTCGGCCCCGTCATCGCAACCTCCCTCGGCTGCTGGCTCCGACTCCAGATCCCCTTCCTATTCGGCGCCTGTCGGTTCGGAGCTTGCATAACCCTCAACTCCTCACCCTGCTCAACGCTCTCTTGCAAGCCGCCATCGAAAGAGCCCACCGAGGATGTGGGTAGCTCATTTGTGGCCGAGACGTTGGCCTTCGCGGGCTTTGGCTTCGGGTCATTGGTGGGGATTTGGTTTACCGAGGATTGTGTTGTCATATATGCAGCGCGAAGGGGAGGGAGAAGGCGGACGATGCCGCGGGTGTGGATAGTGCGCGAGAGCATGTTTGTGGTGGGTGCAGGCTAGCTGCGGTTTGTTGGAAGTGGAAGGTTGGTGGTGCGCTCACCTGTGGGATCCATGCCTAAAATGGATTATATAAGCTCGCCTCATCTCTTCTCCAGCGTCACTCCCATCCCCAACTTTTCTATTTGCAATTGCATCACAATTTCTCTTACCTAAGCCTACATATCAGGATTATGGGCCTCAGCCGGCCTGTTGTTTTATGAGTAGGCCATCCGTTTGCCGCAACCTTCAGAGCACGCTCTACCCTCTATATCAGTCTTTTAGTTCTGTAGTTTCATGGTTTTGGGTTCCCAACCCTTGTTCTCTAGAAGATGAAAGTAGTTAGATTCCCCAAGCAGAGACTGGTCGTCCTAGTGGTTTTATGGGAGACTAGGCATATTTGATCTTACGAAAGTAATGTGGTTAGATGAATATGACGCACATGTAGTAGGGTATAAGTATCTTGATCTGGTATTAAGAATTATTGCACAAAGTTTGCGTCTGGTAAAGCTTGGCAAGGCTTTGGGTTGCAAAGATAGACTTTGAACTGTTGTGCTAACTAGATTATAGCTCGAAGCTTGTTGGCCTTTTATTATCGGTATTTGCTTCAATACTAGTATCTCATTTGGTAGAGAGACACCGATGGACCCTCATGAGGGTGAAGCCAAGGTTGCAGCTGAAGAGTTACCCAGTCTACAAACACATTGTGAAATCAGGCTTGGGAGACGCCAACGTATAATCAGCATCTGAAGTTGCTTACCTCACCCAACGAGTAATAGAGGTACAGACGGACTCTTGTGATTTATCATATACGCTCAATTTGTTTAGAGCTTCTGAAATATGTCGGTTGATGAAGCCTACGAATAGGTAAGGGTGAATGCTTTGGGCTTGCTGCACCCGGAAAACCGCATACCTGGTAAGTGGGGAACAACAGGGTCTCGGCTACTACAACATTCTCTCGCCTACTTGCAGCGAAGGCTATGACCTCAGCGACATCATCGGGGCTCAAAGGGTCATAACCGCTTTTAATGATTAGTAAGGGAACATATGTGTGTCCTAGGATGACTCACGCATAGACAGCCTCCGCCTTCTCTTGATCTCCGCGATATCGGATGTTGGTAAATTCCTATTGATCCCTCGTTTAAACACATAGGGCACAACTTTCTGGGATCATACTGTCAATACATGGCCAGGATCGACCGTGATAATCCGAATCCTCGTTGATATAAGCTCTTTTCTTAAAGCATCGGTAAAAGCTCGTACAGCAGCCTTGCTTGAGCAATACAGCTACAGAACGTATTCCCATGTCATTAGTCGCCTCAGGCTTGGGCATGATTCCACTTACCGTCCCTCCAACGTAGGGATCCCGTCCTGCGATGGACCCGAGCATGATGATGTCTCCTCTTCCGCCACTTGGTCTCGCCTTGAAATTAGGGAGGATTGCCTGAGTCATAGTAATTACACCCGTAACATTCACCGCCCATACAGCCTCAATAATCTTCTGGGGTACATCAGGAGGTCTTTCGACTCCATCCATGAACCCGTTATCCTGATAGTAAGCTTTCCATTCTCCACAAAAACAGAGTCAGAGTCACACTGACGCATTATTCATGAGCATATCGATGTTCTTAAATTCTTCCGGTAACTCCACAACCAATCTATTTATCTCTCCAGGTTTGGAAACATCCAGTCGCTTCACATAAATCTTGACACAATTTCCGACTTCTTGTTGTATCTCTTCTGAAACTTGGTGTAGTTTGTCGATACGACGCGCTGTGAGAATGATCTTGAGATTTGATGGGCAAGAGCGTGCGAATTCGAAGGCGGTACTCCGGCCGATGCCAACTGAGGCTCCCGTTATAAGGATGCTTCTCTCAGAGAGGTTTCTAGATGCCGAGGTATACATTTCGGGAATAATGGTTCGGAGTGAGATTGCTTAGTACCTATTATTCTAAATTCAGGAAAGAGGTTGATAATTTACACAACGCAAGTGGGAATGAGAACAAGAGTGATTGGAAGATGAACCTCAGCAAATGCTAGTGAATTCACTAGTTTATTCACACTGAAGGTATAGGGGCTTTGCAAGCTTGAGAAGGTTGAGATGATCTTGTAGGATGACTCATCCAATACGTTAACTTAAGTTAAAGACGAAGAGGAATGAGGAGTCGCCGCGTATCTCCGAAACCGGAATACCGATAATCCTCTCACAGTGTCTACAAGTCCATGCCCAGGATTAGCCATCCGTTCTAGTTGTAGAGATCATAGTGTGCATCGAAGTGTCCGAACTTGAATACGTCCTCCTATAGCACTGTGATAATCTTGAGACATCACTTGGAGCTCAGTCCGTACAGTGATGCCGAGGCCGGGATCTGTTCACTTTCGCTCATCGAGGAACTCCAAGAGTCTCGAAAACATTTCTGTATCCCAACTCCGCCCAGGCATCGGCCACTCTCTTCTCTGAAACCCATATAGAGCCCATCATGCCACCAGCATTAGCAGATGCTCTTACGAGGTACGCATTTCTCCTCGGGAACACAATCATCCAATCTTTCTAAAGAACCATATTATGAGCACATGGTTCCGTTTCTTGCAACCCATAGGAGCTCAATGCATCCCTTGATTGACGCAGAAGGACTTCGTACATTTCCACAGGATCAGACGCCGTTGTTACACCAAGTCCATCGACAAACTGATGAGAATAAAACTTGAAAGGTATTGTCTTCTTATCTTCGCTGGTAAACAGGTCAAAGGCGAACGGCGGGCCTCGCAGGCCTTGCATGTGTTTGCGTACGCGACTGCAGCCTGCCGCACCTCCACCGATGAATATACCGAATATGGAGGGAGGATCGCGAATCAGAGTTAGAGCCGCATTGAAGTCGTCTGAATCCAGAGGCTCATGCTGGCGACGATATGAATCAAGCGTCAGTAATAGCAATTGCGGCCTATCGACGCAGAATAGATTCACGGAAAGATCATGCGTGTTGTTCAGTACTGTGATCTTGAGACGATCGCTTCCTGGACTCCATCTGCGACTGAGGTCAAATGATGCATCAAGCATTTTGCCTATGGCGTTGGGCTTTCTCGAGAGGGTTGGGCAGATACGGAACTCTAGCTAGTAGATGCACATTAACTTCCGTATTACATATTTTAAAACACTGCGTTGGTCGTGTACAGGATACCCATCACACTCCAATCGGACTGATTCATAGGGACCATAACCCAGGACGACTTCTCGAGCTAATTGGTCGAAAGTCATGATGATCTGTTCTTCTGAGAGGTGCATCGTGGGATAATATTAGATCCTCTGTTGGCAGTTGCCTAGTGGCTCACTGCCCAAGGGCCACAATTCTGTAGATACGAGAAAGAAGGCTTGCGACATCATCAGTGCAAGGCTTCCCGTAGTGGTTCAGGATGAACTTAGCATCTTTTCAGCGCTAGGAAAGTCCACGCTTCCTCCGAGAACCCTTATTCATAACCAGAAGAACGCTTGATAGCTTTCAAGAGCCTCTTCAATGGAAGAAGCGCAGAAAAAAGAATTCGATTCTAGGGGAGGATCTTCACATGACTGGCGCTCGGTTCCTGAAATGGGTTAGTGGACTCTCTATTCAAATCTAGCCGGGCCTTCCCGACCTGCATTCTTCTCTCTCGCTCGCCCGCATTTCTCATCAGCCTCAGCTTGAGGCTCGAGGCCCGATCAGCTTATGATCTAGTCTCGTGTTCGAAAAGTTGCCGCTGCAGTCCCAACTAGCCGCATCAGGTGGCCGATAAGCTCTTGGAGACATCCATTTCTTTAATGGCGGAACCGTCCACATCTCTGAAGGAGAAGCCCGGAGACAGACTGGAGCACTGTTTCTTGTTCCTCAAGGTAAACTTCAGTAATGAATTCTCTCTTTGAGGAGACTTCGCAAGATGAAATGACGGCGATGAGAGACCTTCAGCCTCAATCCGTGGAGGCAGGAGAGGCCCTTCGACTCCGCCGAAAGCAAGCCTCCTCAGCCTCAGTACTGTTGGCGCTATTTATTTGGACAAAGCTCAGCTCCACCAATTCCGCTAAAGCAAATGACGAACCAGTGTCAGCAGTCTCGAACTGTTCTTGATTGGACGAAAATGGTGCGCTCTCTCATGTCTTTTTCGTGAGCAACTCACACAGTCAGAAGTAAGGCTCAACGTTTCGGCCTTGGCACTTGGTTGCTCAGATGCACAACACTTCAATTTCGTCTAATCAAGGAGGCGGCATATACAACATGTCTTGGAATATCCGGGTAATGGCCTTGGTGCTTTGCCTGGGAGTAGAATCAATCCCTAATGGCCCTGTCTCACTTTTCCTCGTTCTCTAGTTCGGCTTCGCGATCTCTTTCAGTCTCCCCTTCACCAGCGCCAAGAACCTGGGTGGCTTGAAGCTGGGAGCTTTGATGTGCGTCTAGAAAATGTGGACCCTCGGTCCGAACCTTTGGCTCTCTCTCTTTCCCCATTCTTTGCTCCTGTCTCTCGCTACTCATCACCAACTTTAACCATGGCGTTCTGTACCTCTTTTCAGCTGTAAAATGAACCCCTGTCTCCTGGCTTTCGTCGATCACATCGGCGAAGTCAAGCTTTGTTCTCGCCCCATGGAGGCTCATTCTGGCTTCTCACGAACGCCATGTACTGCATCCAGACGGTTTAGGCGTTATGGAAGGGATTTATTCAGAGTTTTAAATATGGAATCTGCTTCCCATGCCGACACCTCTCGCATGCCGCTGGCCAATACGATGGCATCCAAAGTCAGCAGAATTGAAGCCCCCATCCCCAGGCGTCCACCATCACTTCTTGCGGAATTCCCCCAAACGAGGCGAGAAAGGAGTTGTGACGCGGCAGAAAAAGTATATCTAGGCTCACAGTGCGGTGTGTGCTGAGTTCTCAAGGCATTGGTACAGGGAGGCATTAGAGTGACATTTTCAACTCCGGTGAGTCCAACACAAGTCGGTCTATATATATGGACACTAGCACCTCGAGGGGTAGTTTCCTTGATATATAGTGTTTCCATTCCGTTCTAACACTCATTCAAGTTCTTCTGTCGATTCTGGCACCATGACACTCGCTCTTCTCCTCTTGCCGCTTCTGGCGTCCATTCCTTCATCAATCGCAAAGGTTGTGACCTACAATTGGGACATTTCTTGGTGAGTACTGTCCCTCGACCACACTATCCATTCAAAGACTGACACTTGGGACGGAAAGGGTCCATGCCGCTCCAGATGGGTTCGACCGCCCAGTAATTGGCATCAACGGAAAATGGCCATTGCCAAAGGTTGAGGCGAACGTTGGAGACACAATCGTTGTACACGCGACAAACAGCCTCGGAAATGAGACAACGGGAATCCATTGGCATGGCCAATTCCAGACTGGCTCAGTCAACATGGATGGGCCTGTTGGAGTAACGCAATGTGGAATTCCCCCTGGAAGCTCCTTCACATATTCTTTCCAGGCGAACCCCGCGGGGTCATACTGGTATCATTCTCATGCCTCAGGACAGGTTCGTGTGCCCACCTCCGCTTGCCACGTATCTCCCTTTAATTCTTTCCTGTAGTACCCCGATGGTCTCCGTGGGCCTATGATCATTCACGACAAAGCGTGGGAAGCTACCTTGAAGATTGAAGACCAATACGTGATGACAGTGTCTGATTGGTAATAAGACAACGTCCTACCCCAGAGACACTCTTCTTACAACCTTTTAGGTATCATGACCAAATGCCAGGAATGGTGCACTACTACCTGAGCGCACAAAACACAATTGTACGTATTGCGATCATTTTGCGCTTGTTACGTACTAACGAAAAATAGGACCATGGCGGTGCCGAGCCTGTAAGAATTTCAATGGGACCGTCCGTACTTCTCTAATACTTTAGCAGATTCCGAATGCAACTCTTATCAACGATAAGCAGACTGAAACATTCAAGATCAAGCCAGGCAAGAAATACTTGATCCGTATCATTAGCATGACCGCTCTTGCTGCACATTACGTACAATTCGACGGACACAAAATGGAGGTTGTTGCCATTGACGGCGTCCCAGGTCCGTACCCGCCCTCATAATGCTCTTTTTCAATACTTTGTGTTTACGTGTCATAGTCAAATCAACACCAACTGATGTTATCCTGGTTTCCTCCGCCCAGCGCTACGATGTGATCATCACGGGTCTTCGAAATCCTAAGAAGAACTATGCGTTCGTATCGCAGTTTGACCCAGACATGTTCGATTTCGTGCCAGAGTAAGTCATCCCCATGGACTACCCTCAGCATTTGGAATTAAAAATCTAAAAACGATCAGGGGACTAGTCATGGCCAATGATGGCATCTTAGAGTACGATCCCGCATTTGGCAAGCCTACTCCCCTCCGCAAGGACAGCTTCCCCGGTTTCTTGGATGATTTCACTCTCGTTCCTCTGGACGGCCAGCCACTGCTGGGAAATCCGACCCAGACTGTCACAATGAATGTCAACTTCACCGACTTCAGCGTTGGCGCCCGGTAAGAAGCGCTGCCCCTCGTCTTAAGATACACTAAACCTCATGTATCATGCAGTGCTGGACTTGGAAAAACACCTTATATAGGGCAAAAAGTACCTACACTGTTCACTGCTCTCACGACTGGACAGAATGCGAAGAACCCTAAGGTGTACGGCGAGACTACCAATCCATATGTTCTAAACAAGGGAGACATTGTTCAGATCGTTTTGAACAATCTCGATGATGGCGGCCATCCATTCCACTTACATGTAGGGACTTATTTGGTGAAGCAGTTTGACACCGCTAACGTTCTACAGGGGCACAACTTTCAGGTACTTGCACGGACTACCACACAACCTTGGGATGGCAACACAGCAACTTTTCCAAAAGTTCCAATGAGACGCGATACTGTTAAAGCCTACGCCTCAGGTGCGCTTGTCCTCCGGTTCAAGGCAGACAACCCTGGTGTATTCCTTTTCCATTGCCACATTGATTGGCATGTCGAATCAGGTCTCACCGTTACCTTCATCGAGGCCCCATGCGACCTCCAGAAACAATTTCCCAACGGCATCCCACATCAACAAAAGGCTATCTGCCAGAAACAGGGTATTCCTACCGAGGGTAATTGCGCTGGAAACACCCGTAACCCCTTGGATACATCCAAATGCGTCCAGCCAGAGCAGTTCGACCCTAACCCGTATGGTGCTCTCATCAACCCGCCTAAAGGACGAAGGATGCGGGACTTTGCACGGGAAGTTGCTGCTGCCCAGGCAAGTCCGTAGGCATATATGGTGATGGGATACACAATGTTTATACTATCTAATGTTTTGTAACTAATTTCTTATATATCGCGCGAGTTGCGCTTCGCAATCATAAGTTAGCCCTTGCTGTGGATTACATATTGCACGCGTATGCTAAGCACGCTTGGTTCCTAAATAGCCACCTGCTGAATAATAGGCATACCCGCGTCTTTCATGTGCTCTTTCATATTCGCATTATCCTAGTCCTCCATAACCCCGAAGTTCTCCTAGCTAAGAACATAAATCTGGGCACTATCTAGCAGTTAAACTTTGTGGAATTAAAAGTATGTTAACGTACACCACAGGCAAGTTGCTTACACACCTAAGTTGCTTACTTTTACTAAGACTTTACTAAACTACTCTTTCTATACTAATGCATTCCTAATAACACTACTTAGATGTGCTAAAAGAACATTAGATACAGCTTACACTTTAAGCTTTTAAATAAAACATAACACTTTTAAAGTAATATGCTATAGCTATGTATAAAGTTTTTTAAAAAAAATAATAAATAACTAATAACGTACTTTACAGGCAAGTTGCTTACACACCTAAGTTGCTTACTTTTGCTAAGACCCACTAAACTACTCTTTCTATACTAATGCATTCCTAATAATACTACTTAGACGCGCTAAAAGAACATTAGATATAGCTTATACTCTAAGCTTTTAAATAAAATATAAAACTTTTAAAAAAATATGCTGCAGCTATATATAAAGTTTTTTAAAAAATAATAAATAACTACAGCACTAAATAACCTTTATAAGCTAATTTTACAGCTAACTTATAAAAGCTAGGTAATAAAAAAGAGTAAGTAATTATTAAAACTATACTTAAGCTATATACATAAGGATTATTTTTTTAAATAGTATTTATAGCTAATATAGCTAATTTTTTATATGCTAAGTATAATCTAGGCTATATTAGCATAAACTAGCTTAGTACATTTATAAAGTGTTATTTAAAGCTTAAAGTAAAGTTTTAAGTATAAGTATAGTTAATAAATATTTAGCTTATAATAAAGCCTATTTTACTAAAGTTATACAT